GTAATAACCGCCCATAAAATACAGGGGTTCTTGCTTTGCGGTGCGAGGAGGTTCGCAATAATACCGTTATAAGTTGGACGAAATTTTCAGCAGCCAAGGATGGCGAAAAGTTGGTGCGCGCGGATTTCTCTCTTTAATTTTATCACCACCACAGCCTAGACCACAGCCATGGGATTAGAGGACAACAAACCCACCGCAGAAAATCGATTCCAGTCCCGTTTGACAATGTGCGCTGAAGTCTATCAGTAATCAGCATTAGCACTGGGTATGTTGGGGCGGCCCCAGCTTCGAAAGCTAATTAAGCTTGACAACTCTTGACACCGCTGATGGTGGGCACGGCACGCTTCTGCTAGGGGGCTGGGTATTGGGACGTGAGTCGCGAATTCGGAGCTTTGCCGGCCAGGCCCTTGCCGGTGCACGGACACGGGAGGGTTGCCACAATCCCCGAAGAAAGTTGGGGCAGTGATCTAGTTTACTAGCGTTGCCCGTGAAGAGAGATTGACTCTTCTTCTTCGACGTCGAAGGCCGTGCCACACACTCTTGAGTTGCGGTTAGAGGCGCTCACGTTGGCTGCTCATAACTCACTTTCCCCCTCTCGCACAGGGTAAAGTAATGCATGTCCCTTGCCTAAGAAGCAAGGTCTTGCAGCAGCAGCAACACCAGTACTTGTTATCGGGATCTTGTTTGGGAGCCCACCAAGATCACTCCCAGGTTCAACGTGGAGTAATGAGGAGGTCGATTACCCCCACCTCAACGGTCCATACTTGAAGTTAAAAGATCTCTGGAAATTTTCTCCTCACCTCAACTCATTTCCCGTTGCTTTTCGGACCGGCGGGCATGGTTCGAGTTCGCAATCACTAGGTCCGGCAACAAAGGAATTGAATGCAAGGTCTATCTGCCGAGTACTCTGCTCGTTGTACTCCGTAGTTGTTGGTACAACCTTCAACCGCTAGGCCTGTCTGCACCGTAATAGGCATGATGCTGTCCCGTCGCAGTGGCCCTCGGAAATTTGGAACTGGGTCTTTTCTAGGAGTACTGGGTACTACTGGTGCATTCGATCATCGCTTGATATGCAGCTCATATGTAGGGTACTCAGCCCTGAGGCACGTCAGCTGGTACCAATGCTAATAAAGACAACTATTTAGTTGCTCCGTCGTCATGGTGGCGGCATTTCGGTCAAGCGCTGGGTTAATAGCTTATGCTACTAATCCCATTTCACCGTAACGCCGAGTTTGATTATTATGATCTACGCGAACGAGAAGAATGGTGCAGGATGACAGTTCCCAACTGTCAAGCGGCGCTGTGGCTTACCAGATGACCTGATCCCATCACAAGCTGAGTCAACAATGTTATTGGGGTGTTCTCATCGCAACTTTTTTCCACCCTCCTTTGTGGGGAAAAGATATTCTCCTTCATCATGTCCACCCAGTTCGAACCGAATAATTGCACAATTTGCAGGCTTTACTCAGCTGCCCGGTTTTGAGCTCAGCTGAAGCCCTTCTCGGCCCGGCTCAAAGAAGAAGCGCGGGGCTAGAGAGCATGGACAAATTAGGGAACAAGTCAAAGGTTGGACAGTTCCTCACGAAAAATAGCCAGTACTACTATTACAGAGTGACCGCTGCTCAAAAGTGGCAAGGCCCCTGGCGGGATGTATCAGATATCATCAATATTCTGACGCTGCGACCGATAGACTCGGAATCGGAACCAATCAATTGGATCTAAAACATCGGAAATTTGGCTTGTGTGAATTGTCATATGTCACCTGTCAATACTCTCTGCGGAATTTACAGATTCCGATAACGTTGTGTAAAATGCTTTATGTATTTGCCCTCTGATATGCTGTAGCATTGGCATGAATCTTGTCACCATCTGGCATCCGCTATCGCTACTTGCTTCGTGCAAAGTCACACCGACAGACACCAAAATTGGGGGAAGTAATAATGCTCAGGATTGAGACTCGTCGTTGGGACGCAGATGGCAAGCCCCCGACCGCTGGGCTTGCTGGCTTGACTTTTGCGCCGTCTGCAAAACGATTGGAATACGGCCTCTGACACGTCACTGAAAGAAGCAATTCTTGAAATTGTATTGGACGAAAGCGTTGGTCCCACCGCGTATTACTGAAAGTTGAGTCTCACATTTGCGACACAGCTGGTACTAAAGTCATTGTCTCGACGTATTCGGTATTCTGTTTTTCAATTTGCAGCTTTTCCGACCAGATGTTGCGATCCTTCTGCTGTTTTTTTTTGTATGCAACAGTGGCTCTGCTTTCACACACCATCTCGAATATGTGGCGGAGACAAGGGTGTTTGTGCTATGCATGTGTAGGCGTTTCCATGATAGTACGGAGTACGTGTCATATCCTACTGCTGCCAGTCGAGCAGAGCTTTGTTCAGCCTCTCCAATTCAACGGATTGTTGCGCGCCGAAGCTCCGAACCATTCTTACGAGGCTGGCGATTCAGAGGTTGACAGTGCAGCCTCCTGCAGCGACTCTGCCCGTTTCAAGTCTTCAAGCCACATGCCCAGTCTCAACCTCTTATCATGGAGTCTCGTGACATGGATGGTTGCTTGCTGGGAAGGACTGAGGCCATCGTCCTCGTCCTCGTCAAAGCTCCACAAGGTCAGATGTTCCAGAATAGCCAGCAATACCACGGATATGATCTCCGGAACAGGATTTTTGAGACGGGCCGAGCAAGCCACAACAAATATCAAGACGAACATGTCCACGGAATCACTAAACAGCGCGATGCCTAGTGCTCTGTGTATTTCATAACTTCGTCGAGGATCGGCCAGAGTCAACAAGCCACCCAGGATGATGTCGCGTACACCCAGCAAGCTTGTGAAGAAGAAAGCGGTGCTGGATGCCGGCTCTGCAAAACTTGATAATGCGTCGGCTGGACAGACGAGAAGTGCAATGCCCCGAAGAATGTGCAGAGCCGCAATGGTGGCCGTTGAGATATACTGCAGCCTCGTCACTGCAGGCAGGACCTTGGGGGTCGGCTCCTCTCGTTGGAGGAGGGGAGTTGTCGGGGATGCTTCCTCCATGGTGAACCTTAATGTCAGCCGGCTAGGCTGTCCATTCGACAACGGGAAGCGTCTCGTGCTTTTGGGGGGCAGAAGTAAAAGGTAGTTTCTGGCTCACGAATCCGCACACCAAGGTGCGATGCGAGCTAGATGAGAGCCAGCAGCATCTCGCAAGCACTGATGAGCGAGGTGAAAAATTAAAAGAAAAAAAACTACACAAGACCGCCGCCGCCGACAAGAGGAAGAAAAAAGCCAGAATATTCCGGCCCGGGCGGTCCATGAAGGTGCCACTCCCTAGCCTTTTATCATGCCGTCGTGAGATGAAAAGGCGGTCTACGAACGTTGAAGGTGGTGCACACGCAAACCATAACAGACCTTTGGCGCCTCTCCCGCAGACAAACATGCCATTTTCCCCTCCAGCTTCAAGAAATTCGCCTCCCCTCGCTCACAAGCTCAGCAGCAAAGCTCAGAATGGTGTGCGCCAAGGGCCACCAAAAAGTGCAAATGTCGCGTCGATCGCCTCGGTAGCGTGCTATTTCGTCGACGATTGCAACTCTCCAAGCCGCGTGAGCCAATGTCGACATGGCCGGTATACGGGTATCGTGTCGATCAGATGCAACACTTGTATCATGCCACTCGGTCATGATTGCGATTACAATGCCATTTCGATACCGTCATGGAGAAATCAAACGTGCATGGGTGAAATACTAGCACTTTTCGTCGCTTATCTCCACCCACTGAGATTCCAATCCTCATCCACATGAGCATTCTGCTGATCCAAGCTTCAGAACACAGTCTCCGCCGGAGCGAGGTCATCTGGTACACGAAATGAATACCGCCCTTTTCTCTTTCCTTTTTTTTTTAACCTTTCATCTATAGTATCACCGAGCACTCCTTCCGAGATGGTGCAATTCGCAGGGGACAAGACACCTCCTGTTCGCCGACAATCATCAGCTTTTGTCAGGTTGTCCTGATGTCACTGGTGTGGCTTGCGGGGTGACGCGCCAAACACCATGATGCGTTGACCGTGCAACCACCAGCTTTTTCTTCGGTGTGCCAGCCGGAGTTTTAGATCCGCGGCTTTTCTGCCAGTCACCGTCGATTTGTGTTGCCGGCGGCCTATGTCGTGCGACGGTGAATGCGGAGTGCGGCCTCGACTCTCCAGGTAGTGCAACCATCTGAGATTAGGTTGTGTAACGCGCGTATCTCGATGTGCGACGCGTGGTGACGATTACACGGCACTGCGGGCGGCCAGCCAGTGGACGACTATCAATTTGTTTATTCAATTGGCTTCGGCAGATAGGGAATTACGACGGCTATCTTGGCTCGGGGTTGTAACGCCCATGGAAATAGGCACCATAACCAGCCCGACATCTCACGGGAGCTAGCACAGGACATCTTCACGTCCTTGGGAGCTGTGCAAAACGTGACCATTGCATGAGATGAGAAGCCGTCAATGCACTACCCAGACTGTTAATTGATTGGGGTTTCACTCCCATGGGATGGGAAAAGTTCCTTCGCCGATAAGTGTCCCTGGTCAAACAACCGTGGCTACACGATGCCTTTACTAGACACTTGCAGTCTCGTACACGGAATGCTAAGAAGAAGGCGTACGACGAAAAGTCCAAATCTTCTTCACTGTGCATTTTGGATACGAAATGTGTTACTCGGTAATACCCTCTGAGACGACTTCTCACGTCAACCCCGAGCTTGACCATCAAGGCGCAGATTCACAACTTCGCCGAGATGTGCGTCCCACAAGTCGTTAGAATCCCTCCTTTTTTCGCCGCGACATGGTTGATATTGCAACTTTCTTACTACTCACGCAGTGGTATGTGGTATCTACACAGATCGGTTGCTAAACGAAAATACTCGTCCCTTGGTTAGAAATCATTAGGCCTTGAGCTTCACATGAACCATTACACCAATCAACCATGACCACTCAAGCGTTCACAATATATACAATTCGTCCTCGATATCACCTCCGGCCCTTCTTCACCTTCTTCCTGCTCGGTTCGTCCTCTCCGTCTCCCACCTGCCTCTTCCTCCTGCCCTCTTCCAGAAGTTTCTTCATACCAGCCGTCGCCTTAAATTTGGGATTGGATGGGTCAATCGCAAACTCATGGCTGTCAAAGACAGCCTTGAACCGATCATCCTCCACATCCATGGTGAAGTCCTCTTGTAATCCGCCTCTATCTCCGCTGCTACCAGCCTCCTTCTTGCCCTTCTTGTTCTTCTTCTTCTCAGCACGCATGATTTCATTCATGTCAAAGTGATCCAGGTGCTCGGCTTGGTTGTCGCGGGCATCTTGAGCCATGACCTTTGTGAGATGGGCCTTTGCAGCGGCTGATTCCGCCTCGGCTGCCTCGCGGGCCTGACGCTTTTTAAGGCGCTCTTCTTTGCGGATGGAGGTTTTGGAGGGTGCGGATGTGCCTTCTGTCGTGAAGAAGGGGTCGTCGAAACCGAGGTCGTCGTCGGCCGTGGCGGTGGGATGCTCCTCTTCATTGCCCCGCGTTTCGTCCGAGGCCGCTTCGCGCTTGGCCTTGTGGGCTTGTCGTTTTTTGTCCTTGCGCTCCTTTTCTTTTCGCTTGTACTTTTCAATTGTGGTCTCCTCTTGGTCGACGTCTTTGGGCTTGCTTTCGGATAGGGCGGAGGTGAATGTGATTTGCATATCGCCTACAGGGCCGTCCTTGGCCTCTTTAGCAACTGATTCATTTGCCAGTCCTAGAGCTTCCCGCATCTTCTTGCGGGCTAGTTCTTTCTTGGATAGCTTGGGTTCATCCGCTGCATCTTCCCCGTCCTCGCCATTGACTCCTTCCGAGCCGTCTTTGTCATCTTCGCTGTCGCTGGCGAGATAAGCCCGGAGATCATTCTCCTCAATATTTGCTCGGCTGCCAGTGAATGCCCTATTGATGGATTCCTTACGTGAAGCCTCCTCGGGGTGCATGTCCCAGGTCAATTTGACCTTTGAACTCTGCAGGGCATTGGTCACGAATTCCACGGGTTTGTATGAATCAGGGACCTTGTCGCACTCATCGCGGGGCTCGTCGTCAAAAGTGACACCATCCGGGACGAACCGCAAGTCAATGACGTTTGAGGAAGACTGGTATTCTGTCCCATCCGTAGCCTCGTAAATCTTCTGGGCCGTCTCGGGGCTTGAGCACACCATGACGGCGTAGTAGTATCTCAGTCGGTCTAATTGATATGATCGGAGGGCATCGCTGTCGAAATCCTCGTCGTCGCCCTCCTGCATGAGCTCCTTTTTGATCTTCTCGTCCTCGCTGTCGCTTCCGTCGTCGCTCTCGTCGTCGGAATCTTTGCCCTCGTTCTTGAACAAAGCCTTGGGAGGACCCTCTAGCTCTTCTTGTTGCATTCGCTCCTTGCCAAATTCACTGGGGTAGACGGAAATCTTGAGAATGCGGCCATTGTCATCGGCGGGCAGGAAACTGGAGAAGAGGGCCATGAGATCGGTGGATTTCACATGGTCCCAGTCCAAGTTTACAACGGCAATGCGACTCGTTACTTCGCCAGTTTCAACATCGGCCTGCTCGTCTTGCAGTCTTTGCATGTCGCCTTCTGAGGCAAGACCAACACGACTTTCGTCTTCGTCTTCGTCTGAATCCTCATCGGAGTCGGAATCAGACTCCGAGGCCGAGAAGCCTCCATGTCGAGCTGGGTCGTAGTCTTTTGGCTTTTCCCTCTCGTCGGCGGCTCGAAGCTCCCGTTGGACAAGCTCGTCATCGTCGACTTCAACGTCACCATCCTCCTCGCCCTCGTCCTCGTCCGCGTCCTCATCCTTAGACTCGTCTTCTTCGTCTTCTTCTTGCTGATATAGTCTCTGGAGAGCTTTCTTTTTAGTGTCAGACTTTATCTTGCGTCCGTAGCGATCAACTTTGGCAGTGGCAGTAAAATCTTCGTCATCGAGCATGCCAGCAAATCGTTTGTCTAATGTGGTCTTGGTGCGCTTCTTGGACGGAAGGCGAAACCGGGGGTCGGTTTCGAAGCTGGCAAATCGAGCATCGGTGATGCGGCCTGAGGAGCTGCTGCTCTTCTTTTGATTCTTCATGGCGAAGGCGATGAATAGGTATGATCTTGCAGCAGCCTTGGAGGGGGAAGGGGCCTTCAGGTTGAAGCCTTTGAATTAATTTTCAGAGTCGCAACTTTTTTACCGGGCGGTGAGAATTTTTGCCTGGGCAGGCGGTGAGTCTGAAGGTGGGGTTGGTGCTTTAGTACTTAGTCTCTGGTCTCCTCGAACTTTTGCAAGATGAAAGTCGACTTTGTAAAGTGTCCCGAGGTCGCTCTCACAGGAACAACGCAAAAGTTGACAGCAGAATACTAGATCCCCTTTAAATCAATCGTCCATACGGAGAACTCTTTACAGTAACTGGCCTCATAAAAAGCTTCTTGGCTTGCAGAGATCTCAAATTGGTGTTTTACACTGAACAAATGACCGATTATCACACACAGGCACGAGACTACCCTGTACTATTTACTACACGGTTCAAGAAGCTCGACTTCACGGGGGCTATCATCCATTAGACTTCTGCTTCCATCTAAAAGCATTTTGGACCTTGGAAAAAACAAAACATTCCATGAACATGCCAAATACGTTGTGATTGAAAGCCACGACAAATGATCTCACGTTTATCAAGTTTGGGGGAGAAGTGCGTTCGCGCTGCATATGCTGGACCGCGGCCTTGCACACACAGAGGAACAAGGTATAACGCCATCCTCAACAAAGTTGATATGCCAGTTGGTGGACATACCGAGTGATGAGGTCTGTGGAGGACGGCGGTTGAAGGTTCAAGCATGGCCTTCGGTCTGATATGGTCATCTCACCTCTAGTTCCTATTTTCAGAACAAGGGGAGGCCTGTAGAGCTGGGATTTCACTATATTCTTTGTAATCTTGATGAGGAAAGCCGAGTTGGGGCAATGTTGTGTGACGGAAAATGCCTTGTAAGTCGATTCTTGGCATTACCAAGCAGTCATTCCCTTTGTTCATGGCAATGTTTTCAAGAAGTTGCGACAATATGATACAAATACTCATTCAAAATTCTAGCCGTTGGCCCCAAAGTTTCGAATCTTTATAATCCACCAAACCATCATGGACTACGTGCACGCCGAGGACGAAGCCGTAGCCGAGACAAGATTCAGCCATCAGCCTTACTGCAACCCGCACCACGTCGGTACATTTGTCGATTGAAATTCCATGACGGGAAGAGACCGACGGTTTTGTGGCGCTTTCGACCGCCGTCGCTTTTCCCACGTTACCCAGATCTTAAATCTCACGCCGCACATTCGTCTGCCAGCCACACATTTGCCCGCCTCACCACCGTGCCAAACCCGCACCTTGCGTTCATATACAGAGCCAACTAACTACATGTTCTGCTGCTGGAGATGACTCGTTTTGGGGGAGGATGCGACACCATTACTTGTGCTGCCTCGCGGCGCCTTGCCAACTCCAACACATCACGGTACAGGATTCCGCCGTCCCCAAATCGTCAACCAAACAATTATGGCCTTCTCGCCATATGGGGTGCCTCCTTGAATTAACAGCGCGATGTAGTGCCGCCTTGATCTGGAAGGACGCGGTGCGTTGACGTCTCACCATATTCCAGCTCCAAGCTCTACAACCCGCTCGTATTTTTCCGACTCACACCGTCATCTTCACCTATTGTCGCCGCCACAAGGTGCCCGTTGTACGACTTGTAAAGCTAGACCGCAGGGGACATGAGCCCAAATGTAACCCGACGCCATCCGTACGTACCCGGGTACCAAACCATCAGCTTCAAAGCGTCTGGACTTGTAGGCTATTACATACCGTCGGCCAAATACAGCCCTATCGGCCGAGTTCATGCAGCCAGCGTGTTGAGGCTTCCGTACGTCCTCCATCCGGAACGAGGCGGCCCCCTCTGTCAGTGGACCTCTTTCTGCACTCGCAGGTTGTGCCGGAGGTGGCGGCCAGCAAGATGGCCCCGTCGGGCGTTTGGTACGGGAGGAAGTTGTTTTGCAAATCATGAAAGCAGCACTTGAATGCGTCCGGACGAGAGTGAAATGAGACTACAACTCTGCAGCAGAACAGGAATGCCAGACTCCTTCACTTCTTGTAAACCTGGCCGCTCTTTGGTGTGTGTCTCCCAGCTTCGGGGCTTAGTTCCCATGTATGGGGCTCGTGCAAAGACATCAGCAAGGGCGGCTCTGCATGGCAAAGCAGCCTATGCCACGGCTTACGTAGCCCCTTAGCGCTGATGGATCGCATGTCACCAGAAACGCCCAACTTGAGCCTCCGCCGGTGCCCGGTTGTGATGGCGGACTTACCGGAGGTTAGGGTACGGCATTGGCAATACGGGGACCCCCTTCGGCCCGTCTTTAGAATCGTGTTCTCAGGGAGGTGTGAGGCAGTTTTGAATCGGCTTACTTATAAGCCGCGCCTTGCCCGTAACTTAATATCGGGCAGGTATTCCGAAAACCTCATCCCATGAACGACTTTTTCAAAAAAGAGCAGCTGAACTGAGTGGATCTTGAAACACATAGACAAACGGCCATGGTACACGCGATACTACATTGTAGGATCCCCTTATGCTCCTGATCCTGAAACGCTTAGGACCGGCGCAGGGTGATCTTGTTGCATGTAGAGCTCCTCCGTTGGGCGGCAGGTCAAGGTACGGACAGCCATAAGCCGGTAGCTACTAGCTTGCCTATGGGAGGCATGTAAGCGCAGGGTTCTGCATCCCTGGGCTGCCACGTTTTCCCCCATGTGAGAGTTGTCCCTGGGGAAGGGGGGTCCCTGTGCTGTTGGGGTGAGGGATGAGAGGAGATCGAGGCTCATGTCTGAATTAAGAATCGGTGATGTTGGTGGCGGGTTTCGCGTTTCGAAGGATTGTCGAAGATGTAGAACTTGACGCCCGAGCCCGCGAATAGAGCACGGAACTTCTTTTTCTTTTCACAGTTCGGACGACATCCGTTCATACAAGGATGGAGCGGAACTTGTTCAGGAGGAGAGTATTGCTAATGTTACCGAGGAGCCAAGGGGAAGAAGAGAAGGGGAAGAAGGGGGGGGGGGTGGGGGGTTGACAGGTGGGGATCATGGCTAAGTG